GTTTTAAATAGAAAACAAAAGTATCATTCTCATACATCGCTATGTCCCGTGACTTATAAGAAGAAAAACAGTTTTATTGGCACTTTTATACTGGTGAAGCAATCGTACCCATGCGAATCGGGTAAACCAAGATTTATATCCTTCGCAAGCTTAAGCCTGACATACGATATTGTCAGATCTATTTTCGAAGAAAGATTCAATATTTCCATTTGTATATTTCATATTTTGAAATTTTACCTTGCTATTAATCGTGGTTAGGAATATATCACAGACAAATTTGCAACTACTTTAATATTTATATGTTACTAGCTGACTCGGCAGACTTCGTAGTGCCTTAATCGACAAATAAAAGAGCTAAACTTTTTGTATAACTAAATAAGCTAAACTTAAAACAAACAAAAGGAATCCGTCCGACGGGGGACACATCAAAGGAAAAACAAAATTGTTATTTTTATGTAATTCCGAGCATTTTCATATTTATCTACCTTTTAAACCTTTTCTGGACTTCCACAAATAATTCAAAACCAAAATTAGCCAAATCGGTCCAGCCGCTCTCGAGTTTTAGCGAGACTAACGAACAGCAATTATTTTTTATATATATAGAGTATTCCACTGTATCTTCATGCTGATCAACCTGCCGACGTACGGCGCTTGGGACGCTAACGAGGTGGGAACTGCTTTTATCAGGATTAAATCTAGGAAGATTTAGTTGGGCAGATCGGTGCATCAGCTCACTACAGTTACTGGCCCGGTAATAAGTGGAATAGATATTCAACAATTTTTTTCTCCGTGGATCGAGAATTGTGAGGTTTCAATCAAAAAACTCAATAGTATACCCAGAGAAACAAGACGCCAACTTTCTCGCCGAATGTCCTCAATCCTCAAAAGGCAAATCCTCATCTATCTAATAATTAACAGAAAGGAACATCGATATCTTATGTCTAACCAACCCATTCATATCATTGATTAAAAATAATCTTACCATTGCCATATTGATTTTATTTTAAAATGTTAACTTGTTAAATTGTAGTAGCCTTGTATTATAAATTTCTTTTTCTTTTTTTTCAGGTAATAATAATACACCGTTATTCAAAAGCAACAGACAGGGTTGTAAGTGACAAGCGAACGTGAGTATTCTCTTAAACTTGAGGGTATATTAAAGCCAGCGTTCCATTACATACACAAATGCAATGCACACCAGTGACTTATTATGTGAATGCCACCGGAAGCAAAACCTCTCAACTTATCCATGCTAATGCGGATAGCATCTGACTCCTAATTTGGCTTCGATTTTGAAATTATTTCCGAATCGAATGTATATTTCTTTAAATGATTTCTTTTACGCATACCCGCATTTTTTATATTATCTGTGCATTTTTTACTCAGTCACGACTTTGGCGCCATTTTTATAAATTTTCAAATATTTTATCTAATTATTACTGTCAGACTAAAAATACATATCACTTCCACAAAATCGACTTATTATTTATCCCGAGCGTGGACACCATTGTACAATACAACTGAGACATCAAGCTCATTTCTCAAGGTGAATAGTAGCATTCATCTTGTTACTTCTAACTGATTTGATTAAAACATTTTTGGGACATTAATGCACTCTAACAAACAATATGCAAGTTTACTAAAGTGCTTACTTAAAATTCTGTCCAATCTCAACAGAAACGTATTTTTTAAGAGCGGATATTTTGTTAACCAACCATAATCTTATGTGCCAAGAGATAGCTTCTTTTTTTTAAAAAAGCAATAGAGGAAATGTTTTTTTGACAATAAAAAAAATGTAAGTAGCTTTCTTGTTGGAGACGACAGAGGGTGAGCTGTTTCGTTCGATCGACTAACGCGACGGCTCGAATCTTCTTTTACGGGACTTGTAAACATACTTAAAATCAAGATTACCTTGAAATTGTTGTTAGCGTGATTCAGGTTTTAGTACAAAAAATATACAATGTGATAGTTACCTTTGTTAACATTTTGTATGATTATTCCCAGTTTTTTAAGCTATTGCATAGCTTTTATCGCGGGTTTTCAGCGTGACGACCGAATCAAGAAATTCCGTAACAAAAATAAAATCTAACACCCCCCACACCGCCTACCATATAGATCGCGTTCAACACATTGACACGTTGCGCTTGTGTAGTGTCTGTGAATAAGCGCGCGGCGTGACGTCGCACTGCATGCGCATCATGAAAAGTCTGCCTATCTCTCTCTCGCGCGGTCTATCTTATGAGTGTGAAGGGGACAGTTAATGTTTTGCTTTTGTTAATGTTTATAACTATAGCGTGTTCTTATTTTTTATTGTTTTAATATTAAATCGTTATTGTCTAATTTAATGCATAAGTTGATAAAAAATGCTATACAATAGCTTTACCGCGGCAGTCCCCGAGTACCACACGTGATATTTTTCTTCTAAAAACTTAATTACAGAATAATTTGTTTATACATTTAAAATATTTTTAGTAACTACGAGTATTATTACCTTAATTATTTGCTTGTGTTTACTCACAAGTTTGTTCAGAGTAATTTGTATATATTTCCTGTAATCCGCTTTGGGTGTCTGTATGTACTATTATCAATGTTCTGAGCACGACATAACTCCTTTAACACATGTGCCCCCTGGATACTATGTGATATCGAGCCAAAGACTTTGTACAGAAGTTAACAAGATAGTTATTAATTTGGAGATTGTTTCGTCTTTATTGCTGTTGTTTTAATCTGATCATTTGTCGATCAAGGTATTTCTCAGAGAGTGATAATTAGAAAAAAACGAAGCTACAGAAGCTATAGAAACTTAATATTCAAAGAAGTAAGAAACCTAAACTATAAGACAGCATAAAGGGCTCGCCGGCCTCAAAACGATATCTCCAAAATTCGTGTGAAAAGATTTCCGTATGTAGTTATTATTGTTCCGATGTATTTATTTTTGGTAGCCATTTATTATTCAGAGAAGAAACAGAAAAAGTACCATCTTTTGGTTAATTGCAAGGGATCCTGAAGTTACTGTACTCGTCGAACTCGACAAAGAGTTCGCCGTGCAACCTAACCCATGAATCAGCTCGCTGAGTTTCTCGCCAGATCTTCTCAGCGGGTCGCAATTCCGATCCGGTAGTAGATTCATTCGCGAAGCAGCTGCTCTTGAGCTGTTAGGTCTCCTTTGGAGGCGCTCGGGTAGCTGTTAGCAAATCCCACCCCTCCTGGCTCTGAGCCTTTGCTCGCCCACCTGTCCTGGTGAAACTGGAAAGGCCTCCAGGCCAACAGTAATCCTTCATTCATAAAAAAAAAAAACGAATAATAACGTTGTCGGGTCAGCTAGCTAAAATATAGAGAAAAATATACGCACGCAAGAAAAAACACATTTCCTACATATGTATTACTCGGAATAAGATTTCCGAGTGACACATCAAACCATTACTATGTTTCGAGAATGTTCCCGTTATATCAAATGCAATAACGTTTCCGGGTCTCCGTGTGCCAGTGACAGCCTTATAATATAGTTGACTTAATTACGTTTCTTACTGAGACTAAATAGTATTAGTGGTCTAACGTTTGTACGTCGGGTGTGATGTAAAATGAAATATAAAAAGGATCGTTTTCGTTTTAGTGACTTTGTTGCAAATTGATTTAATACAAAACTGACTTTTTGGCGGGAACGCGAGGAGTGAAGTTGTGTGATTTGTTTTATTTTGTCTATTTAGTGTTTCTTCAGGTTTAAATGTGTATAGCGGTGGTTTATTAACTGTTTAATATCTGTGAAAGTGCACAAATGTGGGAAAATGAAACAAAGCAGCTGGACGTAACTTCTCGGGATCCTCCAAAAAGTCCACTGAAAAAATCTTAGTAAATTACCACCATTTTACTGAGATTATATTTCATCCTATATCATCTCATTTAATTTCATTCCAGTTGATTAATGTCTCAAATTAATCATCTTCATTTCATTTAACTCCTTATTATAATTTTTCATAAAAATATGAATATAAATTAAAATAAGGCATGACTTAAAGGTCTTAGTTACCAGGACATAAAATCCCTTAAAATAATACAAAACTATGTATCGAAACTATACAGCTTACTAACCTATCTCGTAAACTTCAGCGAATTTCGAGATTTATCAAATAATTTTGCAGATCTTCACTATATTTTCTCAATTGATCGTTAAAAAAATGCATTCTCCTTCTATTTTACGAGGACGTATATAAATATAAGTGCTATTAAATTTTATTTATATGATTCACACATTTCATTGACTATTCTGAAATAGACACAAGCCACTGAGTTTCTCGCCGGATCTCCACAGTGGGTCGCGATTCCAATCCGGTTGTAGGTTCTTTGAAGCACTGGTCTTACTAGGGCCAGTGTTAGCAAACTCTCTTAGCTCACGAGGTAGGGAAGAGAGCTGGTAGTGAAAAAAAAAACACTTTTCTGATATTAATCAAAATTCAAAATTTAAAATGTATATGTCTTGTTGACACTAAGTTGGGAAGTTTCACCGTAATACCTAGAAGCACTTTGCTTGTAACTTAGAACTTATGTTCTGCTTATTCATTTAATTCAGTTGTACCAATTGTACTTTATTTATAGGTTGCCTTAACGTTGATGTAATATTTAAATTAAGAATTAGAATTATCGTTTAACGATATCAAAACTACGTTTGGTATGATTAGGAAAATTTTAAATAGATTTTCTTATTTTGAAATGTTGTGACCATCTGAAAATGCCACATTATTATTTGCCACATTATTAAAATGCCATATTTAAAGCAATAGTGATAGGCGTGGTTGTAAGCCGTAATGTATTAATGTGTCGTGCTCCACAATTGATATTGCTTTATAGGAATTAAGATAGATGGTAACCAAATAAGCACATAATATAATAATCGAGAAAATCAAATACAATTCGAATTTTGATATATAATGTACATAAATTAATGACATTTGACATTGACATAATTAATAGATGTCATATTGACATATCGATTGCTGTTCCAGTGGCGAGTCCGCCGGGAGGCGCGGGCGCACCGCGGGAGGAGGCGCCACGTCCTCCGCCGCTCCCCACGCCCCGCAACGGCACCCCTCCCAGTAAGCACGGCCCTAATAACTTGGTGGCTTTCCAGATGCACATTTTTTTCTTATCTAATCAAATAATTTACTATTTTCCTGAAGATAATCTGTGACTTAAGAGATCATATAAAACAATTATTTACAAAATAATAAGACGTATTTATACTAATTTCAAATGGACCAAACAATCCAAAATATTTTGTTTTTATATCAATAATGATTGAAGGAATTCGTTTGCTTTATTCGAAATCCGGTGCTCGAAAATACGAATATTCATTTTGATTGAAATGTGACTTCCGGACAGCCGCCATGACAGTTCGTGCACGTTTTTTTTTAAATCAAAGTTGGTTTCGTGAATTCGGCCATGCATCCCTCACGCTTTTGATTTATAGAATTATTCAATAATTTGAACCTTTTTTTTCTTTCTTTTTAGTGAATTTCCTTTTGTAGTTATTATCGTTCTAGAAAACTTTTTTGGAATGACATTTCAGCGCCACCTTGTTTTATCTATTTATATAATAGACCTACACAAACACGATTTTCATTTATTAGTTAGGAAAAGTATTGTTTATAATTTACTATTTTTAAAATCATAATATTTTGTGTATTCTGAAGAATTTTGTTTAAATAATTAAAATATGAGGAAAATAACTTTTCTAAAATTAGAGAATTGGATTTATCTGCAAGTACATATTTATAAGAGAAACAACTTTGGTATTAATAGAAAGAAAAAAAGACGTTGAGAAATAAACATAAACATAAAAAGGCCTTGGTGTTGCTGACTTTGAAATTTGAATGAATGATTCGAATTTTCAGGCCACTGAACCCAAATTACATTACCTACTTTTGGGCGACTGATTTTATTCACTTACCTCACAGATACAATGAAATAAATACAAAAATAATCTAGGGAAAATAATATAATAATAAAAATAATTCGACTATAATCAATTGGAATTGTAAGTTTGTACACTATTATGATTGTATTTTATACTTCTATAATCACAAATTTCGCCAAGACTACACTATAAAAAATCTTAATAAAGACAGACAATATTTAATCTATTTTCAATTTGACAACAGACGTCAAGGACAAAAGTTTGACAATAAATAGTATTCATGCGTGTGTGCGTCAAATACATGGTATGCAGTGTGTGTAATGTTTTCTTTATTGATTTAAGGTATCTTTTATGCATTATTTAAAAAAATATATTAGCATTGTGCACTTCTTCTTTATATTCTCTATAAGTGTGGAAAATTTCATACTCCCCCGTCCGCGCAATTTTCGTAAAAAGGGATACAAAATTTTTGCTTCACGTATATATAGATAATTTTCAGACTAAGTGAGGGTGTGAGACTTCTGAGTCTTTCGTTGTAAATTTTATTTTATTATATCATGGATATGTGTGTGTGACCTTCTAGCAGTTTTGTATGACACAAGCATGGAGCATGCATTCATAATCACAACCTTAGATATGTAGTCTTTTTTTTTTAATATTTTTGTTTACACTTTTTTTTTCTCTTTAAAAATTACACGTTTCAATTATGGTTATAAATGAAAATCTCCAAAAACCTTTTTTTTTGGCTGATAAAGAACATAACCAAAACTGCTATAATTATTTTCAGTGTAGGGTCAATTAACGAATTTGATTTTTTTTTAAATCTCTTCCTAGTGGCACAGGCTTCGCTATCCACTGAACAACAGTGTTGTGGTAATGAGTTCGGTATCGCCTCCTAAAGTTAAAAATATATATAAACATATTTTATTCTGTACTTATCTATAGTGTTTACCGATTTAAAGATCTGCTTGTAAATAAGCACTGCTCTTGCTTGGGCCTGTGTTAGCAACACACCCGGTTTGAGCTCCGTGAGCTCATCCACACGTCAAGGAGAATATGGCCTCTCAAGGCTATCAGCATAAGTAGAAAAAAAAAAGTAAATGTATTACATANAAAAATATATATAAACATATTTTATTCTGTACTTATCTATAGTGTTTACCGATTTAAAGATCTGCTTGTAAATAAGCACTGCTCTTGCTTGGGCCTGTGTTAGCAACACACCCGGTTTGAGCTCCGTGAGCTCATCCACACGTCAAGGAGAATATGGCCTCTCAAGGCTATCAGCATAAGTAGAAAAAAAAAAGTAAATGTATTACATAGAAGTTTTTAGTATTTCACTCATACTTTGTCCCTAGCATAGTTCAATACACAAAGCTACACAATGTATCATTTTACAATACCTATAAATGGAACGATATCGTAAAAATAAGTCGTCAAAAACGTTGGTACCTACGCGTCGTGAAGTGCGTTATAAATTATTTATATTTGAGCGAAAAATAAAAACGATCTTTGTGAAATTATCGATAATATTTTCGCTGTAGTGTTTTTTATTGCGTGCGCCGAGATTCGATTCCCATATTCGGCAAACATTCGTGTGACGAACAGGTTTGTTTGCTTTTTGTCTCCATGTTTATTGTCTATTTATATATATACCTATTTAAATGTATATAAGTGTGTATGTCAGTCTCTGGTACCTATAACACAGGGAGTCCTAATTAAGGGCAGGATGACCGTGCACAATTTGTTAGCAGTTTTTTTTTAACCTTCTCGTAAGAAACATTGCTAATTGACATATACAACTCTGGAGTTGTAGATGAAAATGGAAAAAAAATCTTATCGTATACATTTTGTCATTTAATATTCGTATAAAATTTTGTATAACGCAATTAAAGCTACTTTTACGATTTATTCTCGCGTCAAAACTAAAGAAGACCACAATTATTAAAATTCATTTTTGTTTATTCCATTATTAACTTTTAATTATTTATATACTTATGAATAAAAAGTATAATACTTTTACGGATTAATTTCGTGTTTTTTTTTTCTGTCTTGTTTATGTGATTACCGACCTAAAATCAGTGATAACGAAATTTTTTAAATATTCGAATCATCGCAAATAATTTAATGACAATAAAAAATGTAAGACCAAACCGTAAAAGTGATTTTAATTACTATAAGCGTATCGTGTTTGTTATACACTCACACTCATTTGTAAGCAATTAGACATCGGTGCAATGAAAATGCAATGCCATTAGCAATGATAGTATTTACTAATAGTAGCCATGTCTTCTGATAGCCATATTTACATTACAGTACACTTGATTCCGTTTTGTTAGGAACGTATTTTTTTTGATTAATTCAAATTCTATAGTAATAGTGTTATTATTAAATTACTAGCGGCCCGGTCCAGCTCCGCTCGGGTCTTTAACAAAAATTTCAAGGACATTTGAGGTTGTTTTATTTTTTAAATAAAAAAAATATAATAGTTATAAAAGTTTGATTGTCGCGACACTTTTTGCAGATAATAATGCGTTCTACAAAGTCCTAGTACATTATTTTATTCTATCATCAATAGTTTTTGCAGGACACGCGATGTAAAGAATATTTTAGGTATTTTTCTTACACCTTGGGTTATTATTGGAGTTTAGTAAGGATCTCTATTTTTTTTTCAAAAAAGATTATAGCCTATGTCACTCGGGAATAGTGTAGCTTCCAAACAGTGAAATAATTTTTCAAATCGGTTCAGTAGTTTCGGAGCCTATTTAATACAAACAAACAAACAAATCTTTCCTCTTTATAATATTATTATAAATAAATATAAATATAGATTAGGCGATTCTACCCCTTATTGCTTCTTAGTCTTTCAAATGTTCCGTAATAGGTAATAATAGGTAATAAGGCCTTTTTAGATCCTTTTAAGAGGTACAGAAGTCATCTTCTGAGCACTTGTCTGGTGAAGTCATCTGAAATAATCTTTATAGCAAATTTTTAACAGACTGTTAAGTGCCAAACCAATTTAGATATTTTTGAAGAACACGATCAAAAGGTCCGTCGTATGGTGAGCGTTAATAGTCGCTCATGGACAACAGCGAAGCCAGGGGCACGACCAAGCTCGTCCAACAAGCAGTTTCCTTTGACAGACAGAATAGATTCAATCTGAAAAAATTAGAAACTGTAACACATAAAGTAATCTTAAGGTATCAGTGATTAAGTTCTAGTTTGGACCACTAATTCAACAATATTTGATGTAAGTACCTATTAGATTCAATATATAGTCATTATGTTTTGTATAAGAAAATTCCAAACGGAATGTTTCAAAAACAAAATTGTTCCACTGCCGCTTTACTTCGGGGTGACAGTTCGGAATTTATCGCCGTCAGATGCTAAGCTTTCTTAAGTGTGGGTCCCGTGAAAAGCTTCTTGGAAATAGGTACATGCGTCTAAAATATTTTTATCGAGCTTCAAGCTTGGATTCAACTTAATTTACATTCACATTTTATTACCTGCTATACGGAAAACTGGGATTTGAACAATTATCTTGACTTCAAAGAACAGCCTTAGTTCTTCGTAGCGAATCTGAAAAAAATATCATATCTCTGTTGAGTTGTAAAGTCATAAAAACTGGTCACATTTTGTTTTATTACGAAAGCAATAAACGCTTAGACACGATGGGTGACCTATATGGAGCTCGTATTACTAAGACGTGGCTAGCCAGCCGTTAGCAAGAAACGACTCCTGTTATATTGCAACTAATAAGTTTTAAACCAATAAAACTTGGCCTTAGCCGAGAGCAATTTTCTTTAAAGAATCATAAATAAATACTTATTGTATACACCATTATTTTATAACTAGTACAAAAATTTTAAGGAAATATTAGGGAAGACATTATTATCATATATGTGACGGAAAAATCTCATAATACCTTTAAATAGCAAAGTTATTATCATTTGTTTATTGTAAAAAATCTCACTGAAATCATGGACATATTACTTTACAATCCATTCATTAGTTCATTGAACTTCATTGATGGTATTCCATCCTACTCATTCGCATTCGTACTGTCGCACTTGTGACGTAGATGGCCTTAGACAATAAAATGAAACAAAAGAACATGTGATGTAGTTACCTACTTTATTTAATTTTCTAAATTCTAACCTCTCTGTCATATTCATCCAG